GCGCGGCCCTTTATGAGACTTGGTCCTCAATAATTCGTCTGGACAGATTTTAAAGGCTGTGTCTCAAATTTAGTAATTGCAGGAAGATAAATTTCAGTGTATTAATATTTCTCTGGGGTAGTATTATTATTTATTGCTGTTACCTGATTTGTGAGATAGTAATAGCTTTGTATGTCGCCTTGGTGACATGCCCCAAGTGTCCTCAGTCTGTGTGACAAGCGGTGTTGGTGCTTCTTTGCAGATGAACCAGTTGTGTCGGGTGTGCGGGGAACCAGCAGCTGGGTTCCACTTCGGGGCCTTCACGTGTGAGGGGTGCAAGGTGAGTTGGAGCCTCGAAAAGACAGAACTCTTTCGAGAGTCACAGAAATACCTGAGAGCACTTGCATGATATACCATGTTACAAGCCGGAAGGTCGGTGGTTCGATTTCCTATGCGGTCATTGAATTTTTCAATTGACATAATCCTTCCAGCCGCACTATGGGCCCTGGCGTCGACTCAGCCTCTAACAGAAATGAGTACCAGGAATCTTCCTGGGGATAAAGGGCCGCTGGAGCGTGAGGCTCACAACCTCGCCGCCATCTGTGAGTCGATTGTCTAGAAAATGTGTGAGCCTCGACATCTCGGAACCATATGTATACCCACGGCATGTTACAGGGATACTTTTACCTTATCTCACCGCCATCTGTGAGCCGATTGTCTAGAAAATGTGTGAGCCTCGATGTCCCACGACCCTATCGGACACCACGGCCTGTTACAGGGATAACTTTACCTTATCTCACCGTCATCTATGAGCCAATTGTCTAGAATATGTGGGAACCTCGACGTCCCACAACCCTATGGGCCTCCACGGCCTGTTACAGGGATAGCTTTACCTTATCTCACCGCAATCTATGAGCCGATTGTCTAGAAAATGTGTGAGCCCCGATGTCTCACGACCCTATCGGACACTACGGCCTGTTACAAGGCTAACTTTACCTTATCTCACCGCCATCTATGAGCCAATTGTCTAGAAAATGTGGGAACCTCGACGTCTCACAACCCTATGGGTCTCCACGGCCTGTTACAGTGGCAGCTTTACTTTACTTGCATGACATGTCACTGTGTAGGAGTTTGACTCCGTCTCTTACTATTCTCGTGATTATTTTGTCGTTTATGTTGCAGCAGATGCCGAGGTTGTGTAGCGTCTCAAATGGATCTAACAAGATGAAATGTAAATGGATAACAGACGACACTCTTGCGGCAAGTTCTCGAGCCATTATCTGTAATTTACCGTCAGGGACTGAGAAAGGGCACCAAGGATCTCAGTTGAAAAAAATGTGTTCCCATCGGGGATTCAAGCAAATTATCTCCAGAAAGAATTATTGCTGTTTGAACCCGCATTTTTGCCGTTTGTTACAGTGGGAGGACTAACGGTATTTATGAAAATATGCAGATAAATGATGGAGTTTATGAAATATTTAAATAATTTACTGGACTTAACTATGTCTAGGTTCTGACAAGATGTCAGGAAATTCATATATAATTGATGTGATTTATGGAGAATACCGAAATAATTGATATCTGTGAACATTTGCTGTTAATTATGCTGTTCTTTTAATATAGACCGCTAATTCACGAAATTTATAAGTGTACGCATATAAAATATCTATTCCTATAACAGACCATGTGGGCCCATAGGGTTGTGAGACGTACAGGCTCCCACATCTTCTAGATAGTCGGCTCACAGATGGCTGTGAGGTCAGCCTTACCCGCCAGCCGCCCTTTACCCCCCAGGAAGATTCCTGGTACTCATTTCTGTTAGAGGCTGAGTCGACCACACGGCCATAGTGCGGCTGGAAGGATTAGGTCAATTGAAAAATCCTGTAACCTCATTGGGAATCGAACCCGCGGCTTTCTGGCTTGTAGCATACTCGTAGTGTCTCAACCAACTACTCTACCGCGTACCCACACTGTATGCGTGTAGTCTAGATAATTTGGGGGGGGGGGTATGGTAACATGAAATATGAAAATGTGCAGGCATTTACTTAAGTAAATAACAACTCCATCAAGTGTAACCAACTTTAATATAAAAATAAGTACACCTTTACGTGAATAGGCCTTGAGGCATTATGCTACAAGCCTGACAGTCGCGGGTTCGAGTTACGATGAGATGATTTTTTTTCAGTTTATCGAATCCTTCCAGCCTCACTATAACCATGGGGTCGACTCAGCCTCTAACAGAAATGAGTACCGGGAATATTCTTGGGGGTAAAGGGCTGCCAGCGTGTATGCCTAACAATATTACCGTCATCTGTGAGTCTATTGTCTAGAGAAAATATGGGAGCCTCGACGTCTCACAAGCCTATGGGCTCCTCACGGCCTCTTACAGGGATAGCTTTGCTTTCTTACGTGTTTCGGCTGGGCTTGACCATAGCCAGAATATTCTCGAGCACTACGGAGAAATGTTTTCCATGTGTCCTATACCTATGTCTCCATATAGGAATTTTTACCACTACAAACTAAGATTAGATTTAGGTATTATATAGTTGCATTAAGTTTATAAATAAAATTAATATATTAATGTCCTTTAGGATTGGAGAAAGCTCAGTCGGTATAGCTACGGGCTGGAAGAAAACACTGCTCGAGTATTGTTGCGTGGCTGTATATGTTTACCGAGCCGTTGCCTAGAAACGGATGGCATAACCCTGTTGTTCTATTGTTGCGTGAGTGTATTACCTAGCAACGGCTGTTTCTGTGGTTCAACAGTTCTTGCATGGAGCAAATATATGTACACCACAGTACTATTAGCATTCATGGAATGGATAAGGATACCCTGCAGAGAAATGTTGCTCGTTACTACGTAACTTACATTCATGCTACATGTTTAGGTTCAATAATTCGTTGCTATGGCAACCTGGAACTGTATAGTGACGTAGATAAACTTGACACTCACAGAAAGCTTTTACGCATGTAGGAAGACAGCAAATGACATGCATTAATATGTCGGGATATTTGAATGAATTTATGGAATTACCCAGATAATTTTTACGAAAATTATGAAATTATATGCAGATAAAAACTGATGCGGTTTGTGACGATATGATGAGAATTATCGTGAATTAATGAGACGGTTTAAACGAAATGAAGGGATGAGCCCTGAACGACAAGTTGTAACAATGTTCTAACTCTTCCAGATCACACAGTTCTGTGAGTCAGGACAGGAACAAAGGGAAAATTGATAATGTGAAGGGGGTAAAGGAAATTAGAAAAAATAAAATGTAATGAAGAAGGAGAAAGAAGATTATCACGACGAAGTATAGAGTAGAGAAAGGAGAAGGAAATAGAGAAGATAAAAGAGTTAATGTAGAACGACGAAGGAAAATATAAAAAGAAGCGGGATCTGAAAAAGAAAGAGGGAAAAAGGAAAATGAGAAGAGAAGAGAAAGAATATAAAAACAGGTAAATTTTCCTGTGCTTAATTAAACACAACGCCATGAAGACATGCGTTGAGTGGAGTCATACATCCACGTATTCTTGACCGGAATTAGTTGGAGGTGAGTGGTAAGCCCCACGTCCTGGCCGCTTTAACCCCAGTACCTCCGGCAGCATTGGATAGGAGGCAGGATGGGCCTCAGAAGCGGTCTGGGTGCTGTGGAGGGGAGACAGTAGAAAAGCAGGAGTAGAAGAATGAGGAAAGACAAAACCAGAGATAGGAAAGAGGACGACGAATTAGGCAGAAGAAGACGAAGGTGGAGATGAGTGAACCGTATCGTTACTTGGTAAGAGGCTTTCATGGCTATGCTCCTGGGATATAACACCGTGCATTTCTTAGATCCCGACGTTTCGCAGGCACATATCGCTCCATATTCCTGGTACAGGAGTTAGCCAAACTGAGCATGTCACCTGATTCTGCGTCTTTCTTACGTGTCTTAATTTTCGGCCCTAGAAATTTAAGCGATTTGTCTCTCTGAAACGTCGGTCTGTCTCCGAAATATACGGCCCTGTAACCAAGAAAACCGTAAAAATCACTATTTCCTTTAAAGAGCTCCTTGGGCCTGAAGAGGATAATATAATTAGCAACGAAAATTTCACACTCGCTACTCTAACATTAATACGTAAATATTTATTAGATAGGAACAGTTCAGAAAGTTCCAAGAAGCGCGAGCTGTCGCAACTAATGCAACTTGCAAACAAAACTTTTATGGGTCATATCGGAGGCTTAGCCGAGTAGAGTTTGTAACATTTGTTTGTGAATTATTTGCTCCGGCATTTCGGAGAATACAGCATGATTCTAAATTATTGTCGGGGGTTTCCGTAACGCATAATTTTCAAACCGGACGCAACAAAAAAAACTGCGCATGCCCAAGTTGTTTAGCTTTATGTAGTATTGATTCGATCAATAATAAAAAACGTTTTGAGTTACACTTTCATATTCCATAAGAATTTTTATTTTATTTTTTCCTATTTGAAAATGAAAGACCACACAAACCCCAACAACAATTTAGAATCACCGCGCATGCGTGACAAGTCTCTGTACCCACGATGTACGTTTATATTAGAAAATGCGTATAACCAAATTTACGTGCCGATCGGATTGATGTAGCGGTAACGCTCCATGCTCATAACCGGTAGGTGCTGTGTTCGAGTCTCTGTCGGGACACCGACTACCCAGACTGTTTTTGTAATTTCTCTCAGTCCCCGGACATTATGTTGATTAGGTCACGAACGCTTCCTTCTAAATCCTGTGTATTACGTATCGGTTTTCTTGTTCCTCAGTGCAAAATTACCTGAAGTGGAAACCGAAGAGTTTAGCGTAGCGCTAATGGTTTAGGCTTGTATTCGAGAGGTGTTCGGTTTGAACCTCGACGAGATTGACACTGGATATTCTGACTGAGGTATTTCGAAGTTTTCCTCAGTTTCTTCAGGCAAATTCTGGGGATAATATTTCGATTAAATCAAGACCACTTAATTCCAAATACTTTCCAAGTTCATCAGTCGTCCAGTCTCTTGACTCTGTACAGTCTACGCACTGGCACACGTCACAAAACCAATGAGCCACACTGACGGGGTACAGAAGTACAGTGTACGTTAGAAATGATTCCAGACACGTCCAGTTCTTGGATCAAAGCTTTTGACTAAAGTATATTTCACGGATTGGTAAAGTTGTCCCTGTAACAAGCCATGGAGGCCCATAGGTTTGTGAGACGTCGAGGCTCCCACATTTTCTCTAGACAATCGACTCACAGGTGGCGGTAACATTGTCAGCCTTACGTGACGGCCAGGAAGAATCCTGGTATTCATTTCTGTTAGAGGGTGAGTCGACCCCAGTCCCCTCCACGGCCTGTTACAGCGATAAGTTTACGGATGTCAGCTATTGTCTTCTTGAATGTCTCGGAAGTTAGGCACCAACCTTTCGCATGAATATGCTGCCTACATCTTCGGATTAGAGCATTTCTTTTGTAGTGAATTTAGAGACAGCTCGTTTGTCCAACTCGCTGGCATCACTCTACCAGACTACATGGTGTCACATCCCAGAAGACCGTAATTTTTATATTCACAATCCTGTGGACACCACATCCACGCTTCCAGTGGTTATGGTACTAAGTACATTCGAATTCGAAAAGTCCAGTTGTCATTCCAGGTGCTAGAAGTTGAAGTGCTGCAATTTATTCACAACTACTGTTACCTTGTTCTGAAGATATAAAAGGATTTTTATGAAATCACCTTGCTCTCTGTCTGTCCGTCTCTCTGTGTATCCCTTCTATAAGTAGGCTATTAGTTCTTCTTAGAACTTGTTGTTAAATATGATTTAGAAGAATTTCAGGCTTCGAAGCACGAGAAAACCCCGCGGCAGATCAGCGCAGACCGCTGGCGAGGAAGCGTTACGTTACATAAGCGCGAAGGCTCACAGCGCATGTCACATAGGGCAGCACACACCTGCCTGGAATAGAATACGTTTACTGTGATGATGTCACCATTATGTAACCAGATAGTGGCGCCAACCTGTGACCAATTCAAGAAACACTTTTACGTGAAAGAGGTGAATAAGGGTTTGTAATCCATGTAAGAAGCAAAAAGACGTTTCTGCAGTTTCGGAAACAGAGGGACAGACACGGCAAAAGAAGAACACCTTAATGCTATGAAGAAATATGGAGGAGTAGAGGTATAATTCTACTATATGAAGGTGGTCAGCTTCACGCTGCGTCTACTTTGCTGCCAGGGAATGAGTTCCAAATATTCGTTGGATATGAGGCTGGGTGGGCCCCAGAGCCGTTCTGGAAACCGCGTATAAGGGAGGGAAAGCCTCGGGTTTCTTGGATCTGAGGAGGCGGCGTATTCGTGCTCTGCGTGGGGTTCGAACTCGCGATCAAGACACCGGGAACTAGAGTGAGGTATGAAGGTAGCGCAGCCCGACTTGGCCTGAAGAGCGTCTGAGTCTTCCACCTTCGTCCGCACTCACAAAGGAAGCGGCTGTTCGTATCGAAACAGGTAGCCTTTGAGATTAAGGTCCGACATTCTGGTGCAAGGTCGTGGCCTTGCGTGTACAACGGAGATAACAATGTTTATCGGGACAGGTTTCCGCAGCGGTCGGTCTGTTCGGCCTAAATTTCGGCAGGGGCACCGGATATCCTGACTGATAGTTTTTGGTGGTTTTCCCCAGTACCTGTAGACAAATTCTGGAATAGAATTCCGATTATGCAACAATCAGTTCCTTCTAAATCCTTGTCATTTCCTTATTGATGACTCTTCCTACCTTTCGAGGTTATACTCGTATACTGTATAGTTTAGCTTCTGACAATATCGCGAAACGACCCACAAAAAATAGCTTTTTAACACTTTTAAGGGCGAATTTCCTTTAAATTATGTTTCAGATTATAATAAAACAAAGTTGATGCCGATTTTCTTATGTTTTGGTGCCGTCAGATACAGAGAAATCGCATCGGGACAAGTTCTCTCAGAGACGTAAATCACAACATTTTGTTTCTTGTAGGATTTGAGGTTCTGACACCGGTGGTTATGAGGAATTATATCTTCTGTGATATAACGCCTCGTTGGACGTCGAAAGTGAATAGACGTTTTGGAAGAACATATTCAGGATCCGAGAAAAAACCAAACAAGAAACCAACAGCGTGATGCAAGTAGCAATCAGAGTTCCGTTGACTTTCAATGGCTTACAATGCGTTATACCCAGAAGAGAGAACTGTTCATTTTTTCTTAATTTTATATTCAACTGCCTATGAGATTGTGCTTCTTGCGAGGAATTAAATAATTTCAAGCATCCTGGAAATTGTGTACGACTTCTTAGCATTAAGTAATCCTAATTATGTTTTCGCAATGTATTCGTTGGTTTCACATGGTTCTCAAAATAAAAGCGATTATTTCCCTAAACCGGTTGGTCAGTGTAGCGGGCGCAGTGTGCTTTCTGTGAGGCAAACACAAAATATTTAAAATATTATAATACGAACTCGAAATTTCAGAGGGTTGAAGAATTTGTATTTATTGTTTATTTTCTGTAGGAGGAAAATCTGTAGCCACAGTAAACGCAAATAAATAGGAATACTGGTACTAATAAAGTGAAAGTTTTGCGATCCGGCATTCTCTCGTTCCCTAAGTGAAATTAAGTGACTCTCTTCTGGCTTAGACCCTTACTGGCGCAATGGAATTCCAAAAAGGCGCTGTCCATTAACTTCCTGCACAAATTTGGACGTTCGATCTATTTTTCTTATGTCTCTGCTGATGTTTTTACTTAATGCTGCATTTCTTTGCCGTTGACTAGCAGTGGCGACACTGAGTGTCGTCACGTGCCTCTGTACGAATATTCGTTGAAAGGTGATCTCCCGCTGCACCCCTTAGTTTGGTTTCTACCGATGACAATGTTCTGCCATACTTATCTTATGGTTTTCTATCGAACCATGAATTATCGAATTTCCTTCTGGTTGTTCTTATTGAGCCATGATCTACAGAGTGGCCCATAAGCCCCACAGTCATAGGTTATAACAGTCTGTACAGAGGATTGTCATGCATGCAGTGAGATCACACAGCAAAATATTACTCCCCTCTGCTGGACAAGCAGGAGTGTGTAGTAGATATGTTGAACATACTCGTATATTCTGCAGGAGCTGAGTTAAATTACTGAAACTTATGCAACATTCGGTATTGGTTCCACTAAAAAGGTTTACCCCCAAATCCTCACGTATGAGTTTATCGAAATATGTTTTTCGGTAAACTCCTTCAGACGGATTTGTGCCGAATTATTTTATGATTTCCAGAAAAAGCGGCAGGTTGCGTTGAACAGTTTTTTCATGTAAGCGCCATGGTCTAGTTTCTGTTGAACGTTGATCTAGAGCTCATGCCCTAGGGAGGGATTTATTGAATAGAGATCTCCAGCATATACCGGAAGACGGGTTTCTGTTGAACGGTAATCTCAATCATACTCCGTGAAATGTGTTTCTATTGAACAGAGGCCTCTGGGATATACCGTAAAGGGGATTTTATGAACAGTGATCTCCATTATACTCCATGAAACGGGTTTCTCTTGAACAGAGGCCTCTAGTATATACCGTAAAGGGGGTTTTATGAACAGTAATCTCCATTATACTCCAGAAATGGGTTTCTATTGAACAGAGGCCTCCAGGATATACCGCAAGGCGGGTTTCTGTTAAACAATGATCTCAATTACACGCCCTGGAACCGGTTTCTCTTGAACAGAGGCCTCCAGGATATACCGTAAGGGGGGTTTTATGAACGGTGATCTCCAGTATGCGCCGTGAAACGGGTTTCTGTTGAACAGAGATCTAGAGCGTATTTAGTAAGGCGGGTTTCTATTGAACAGTGATCTGCAGTACAAGACACAGGACGGATTTCTTTGGGTCTCGCTTGCATGATGCAATCACAGAAACCGTTCAGTTACAGTGGGAAGTATAATCACGGGTCTTGTCTGTTTCAGTCCTTCTTCGGCAGGACGTACAACAACACGAGCTCCATCTCGGAGTGCAAGAACAACGGAGAGTGCGTCATCAACAAGAAGAACAGGACATCGTGTAAGGCGTGCCGGCTCAGGAAGTGTCTCATGGTCGGCATGTCGAAGAGCGGTTCTCGGTACGGGAGACGCTCCAACTGGTTCAAGATCCACTGTCTGCTCCAGGAGCAGCAGCAGCAACAACAGCAGGCAGGTAACAACCCCGCACTTCGTGAACCCTTGAACACCAAGAACAGCAAAATGTTGCCTCTGTGGGAAGGACTGGCACCGCATTTCCATGACACCAAACAACAGCTACATCTGCCAAGTGCGGTGGATGTTGACAACAACAACACTGGCACTCCCAAGAACTTCTTGGACAGCAAGTCCAGGTCACTACAATCGGGACATCTGTTGCCTGTAAGAACCCTCGCAGGGACACCGCACCCAGGGTACGCAGGCGAGGCGGCAGCTGCGCTGTGGGCCGCCAGAAACAGTCTGCTACCCTTACAGGTTACATCTCACCACCATGCCACGTCTATTCCGCCTCTCCCCGTGCCTTTCCTAACGTCACCTTTCCTTCACAGTACAGGGTTTCATCATCCTCACCACGGCGGACCTCCTAGCTCCAGAAATTTCTTATTACCTTTTGTGCAATCTATGGCAACTTCTCCGAAACATCATGTCTCGGAGCGTCTCGCTTCCCCTGCCACTTCTTCTTCAACATCGACGCCTTCATCTTCGCATTCGCCGTCTCCGATCCGAGATGGGAAGGTTGTGCAGAACGCGGCGGACGTCACGAAGCCCGAGCAGAGATTCGGACATTCCGAAGAGCCGAGATCTGCAGCATACGAGAAGTCAGTAGCGTTACTCCAGTCCCTGGGGCCCGTCCAGGATCAACCTATCGACCTCTCTGTAAGAAGTGGACCTCACAATAAGACAATAAAACACAGAAGAAGAAAAAGTTCATCTGAGGACACTCCCGAAGAAGAGGGTGAAGTTGGTGGTGGCAGTGATGGTGGTGTCGAATCATGTGATGATGACAGGGGTGAGGAAGGAGAAAACGAACCTTTGAAGGAGAGGGGTGGAGATTCAGAGAATAGGAAACCAATTTCTACCCCTCTTGACCTTACAACCAAAACGTGACAGGCCAGTAAACTACATGAATACTTTAACGATGTGTAGGTACGATTGTAAAATGTCTTTAGACTGAATAAGCAGATTTTGTCTGTCTTGCAGACCAAACCAGATCAAGTGGCACTCCCTTTGCAGCTTTGCTCTCTCACAGATGCTGACACGGTTTTATTTCTCAAATGATTGTATGACCATGACGATATTTTGATGACATGGAATGTTGTGATTACAAATTCCAGGAATTTCTGCCATATTTTTATTCAGAAATAAATATATCACCATTCCAAATTAATTCCTGTTACGACGGTTTCATTTAAAAGCAATATTCTTGCTCAAGAGGAGACAGTTGCAAAGTAACTCCGGTCCTCTGTGGACATAAACAGCGCTGAATAACACACCAGACCTTATTTCAGTATTTTCTCACTAGAGTTAAAAAGGTAAAGCTATCCATGTGACAGGCCGTGGAGGCCCATAGGGTTGTGAGATGTTGAGGTTCCCACATTATCTAGACAATCGGCTCACAGATGGCGGTAAGGTTGTCAGCCTTACGCGCCAGCCGCCCTTTACTCCCAAGAACAATCCTGGTACTCATTTCTGTTAGAGGCTGAGTCGGCCCAGGGTCATAGTGCGACTGGAAGGATTAGGTAAATTGAAAAAGAAAATCCAGCTCATCGGGATTCGATCCCGCGACCTTCCGGCTTGTAGCGTAGTACCTGAACCAATTACGCTACCGCGTGCCCCTCACTAGAGTTGACATCTTGAGACTGGAATAACCTTCATAGTGAGGAGCTTCAAAACTGTATTCATCGCTAGGTATTATTAGGATTGTCAGCTCAGGGTAGAAGAAATGAACGGGGCATGTAGCACGCAAACCAGATGTGGAAATTATATATAATATTTTAATGGGAGAGAGTGAATAGAGGAGACCACTTGCGAAACTTAGTCGCAGACGGGAGGAGAGTAAGGGAGCGGATATTTCAGAAATAAGACGGGAGGGCGTGGGGTGAACTCACCCGAACCACAATAGGGACCAGTTTCTGGATGTTGTGAACACGGTATTTTTGTTAGTTTGAAATAATACAATTTCCATTAAATAAAATATAAGTATTACAATTGCCGTTTCGGTTGTTTAACGACACTTTTGGCACCGATGTAGTGTCTGATGACAGAAGGACTGAAGGAAGCTGTTATGGCTTAATAGAGGTACTATCCCAGAATCTTTCTGTAGTGACTGAGGATAACCACGAAGAGCCTCACTCAGGAGAGTCGGTGGTATAGTGCCCGAGATCTGAACCAGGCACATGTTCGGCTGCCCGGTATTGACGCTCTCTGAAGGAGAGACATGGACCAACACTCAGCTAAACAGTTTAACGTAAGACGCAATCTCCAAGTGCTCTCAACGTGAGGTTCATTCGTATTTACGTACAAAGCACACGGGTTCATGTCCCGGACAGATAAATCGGATTACAAGTATAGGAATAAATTAATTGTAGTCACATGAAGAAAATATTGCAGAAAGCGTTCATCGTCCCCCTTTCCCTTGCTTCTGCATTATCTGATTTTATATTCATCTAAAACAAAATTACGTATTTTTTTACGTTGTTTTACGTTGTTTTTTTTAATAAATCCTATTTCATATTGTAGCTTGTATCGTGAAGTTGGCGGTTATATTGGACTCGTTTCTAGGCAACGGCTTGGTAAACACTTCCGCGCGGCAAAGGTTACACATTCAATGGGGGAAACGAGATGTTGTCTAAGCGGTCCGTGCGGATGAGTTATAGAGAAGAGAATTGGAGCAATGTGTAGAGTTGATACACTGATATATTGGGTTTTTGGACTTTATCCATCGTCCTGGTAAAAGAGTCCAAAAACCCAATATATCAGTGTGTTATACACCATCGTCAGAATCCTATAGTAACTACTTGTAGACTTGATGTTCTGCAAGGGACTTGAGCACTGAAGCAGAGGACTAGCAATTCTTTTACCAGTAAATGTCTAGTGAAGACACTACAGAGCAGTAGCCATTGTTAGAAACCGTTACCAGTAAACGTCTAGTACAAGGCTGGAAAAGACGTAGTTTGTAGTGATTTGTTAAGCGTGGAAATCAGAGATAATGTTATGGTTGTTTGTAGTTACGACCTGAAAGTTGTCAATAAATCTATTCACCAAATCCAAACCCCGGCTATAGTCACGCATATGCGTAAAAATATGAACGTCTTCTAATTTGATGGAGTAGGCTCTCTGGGTTGTTTACATTTATAATTAATTGTGAAATATGGATCTTGTAGACAGTCGGTAGGACTCAAACGGGGAACCAGCCCGTCATGAGGTCGCTACCTACACAGGACAACACAAACACAGATAAAACGCAGACAGACATCCGTGCCTCAAGTGGGATTCGAATTCATGTGAAGCTCTCTTCAATTGTTCCTGTTCCAGGCGCAATATGCCACGAACCATTAAGTTCCTATTGAACTAGTGAGAATGCATGCCTTGTCGCGTCTAGTTGGGCTGGTTTCAGTTCACAAATCCATAATTTCTAGAACTTCTCTCTCTAACGACTGCTTCTAACCTTTCTAAGGTCCTCACGTTTCATAATAACCTTATCAGAAATGCGAGAGAACGAAGTGTGAGAACTTTCTCGCAAAGTGATGCTTTATCTATTCCACTCTCAGTCCGCTCTTCCCATGCATTTCCCCATCATTCATACAAGGGACCTTGCTATGAAACTGATATCTAGAAGGGCACGATGAGCTGGACATGTAGATAGAACGTGGAGAACAATAAAGCATATAGAATTTTTATGGGAAGCTGTTTGTAAAATGTTCACTTGGGGGGACTTAATAAAAATGTATGGATCTTAGGGAGATAGATTGTGACGATGACATTTGGACTGAACTGGCTCTGAATCGTTTTCAGAGGCGAGCTTTCGTATTAAAATCGTTGAAATTCCGGTTATCCTAGCCCAGTGTCAGTTATGAACATATCTCTTGTTTTGAGGTCATTGATTTTAGTTCATTCAACTAGAAATGAAAATGTATTTTTCCTTTTTGAAAGAAAAATCTGTTAATTGGCTCTTTCAGTTAACGACAAAGTCGCCCTTTCACTGTTCGCACGACATTTACTAAGGCCGTGTTCCATTTGCCATCTTTCATTCAGTAATCGCGTTCTTTTGTTATGGCAACACTGATCATCTGTGTCATCATCGTTCTTATAAAGTTTAGTGTGCATTGACCGTATTTAGGAAATAATCAAACATGAAATTAAGAAACACTAATTATTTCTTCACTTCTAAGAATTCAAAGCCTCTATTCTTTGTTTTACATCGACTTCAGTTTCAATTATTGCTGAGTAGTGAACACGTTTATTGTTCCGCGCCCAGAAGTGACACTACATTAGAGACCTCCCAAAGAGCTGCTTCCCTGTGGTCGGCCACTCTGAGTACTTGCTGTCACATCTGTCGGATGGATGTAGGTTGTGCCAACAATAAGCACACGGCTCCACATTCTCTGACCATACAAGTAGTGAAACTTCATGCGCTTCTGTTACTGAAAGTTCAAGGGTTAAGTGATAATTTTACACTTCCCCAATTTACTGACGTTGCATAAATGAGGGACGCGTTTCTGATGTACGAACTAACCCGTCATTAAATCACTCTCTGGAATGAAAGCCATACTCATTCAGTGTTTAAACAGAGAGTCTGACAATGAATAGTCAACAGAAGTTCTTTCATCTCTCATGCTTATATGGATTCAGCATTTCTGTAAGAGTAGGCGTTCTTTACGAATAAGATAATATAATAACCTGTAAATTGTGAGGTTGTTTTCTTTTCGACAATCTGTGAGACCTAAGTTAGATTTTTATTCCTCGAGTGTTTGTGTCACTCTGTGTTTAGCGGTACGTTTGAGCGAAACATTGATTTAAGTGGAGCTGTTTCCAAACAGCCACATAACTGATCAATGGTTCGCTAAGACGAGCCACGAACGCTTGTAGAAAAGGGGCGTTGGAACCACTGGACTTTTTGTTTAATGTTGTTAAAATGCAATATTTAGAATTCCATGTCAGGAAACAAGCAAGTTTGTTGGTTTTGAATCAGTTCGAGTAATCCGGAGTTTCTCGTATCAAATACTTTATTTATATCGTTAACACATTCGCAGCGTGGGAAACATATTTAACTTATATGAGACAAAAATTTATGGAATATAAAATGAAATTCCATAAATATGTAGGGCTGCGATAGCTCAATCAACATATGGAAGACAAAGCGATTTTCTTTCCCCGATAGTGGTAGAGCTTATGTTTTCTCCACAGCATTCACACCGGGGTGGGGCCCAACCAGACCCCTGTCTGGTGCACAACAAGGACTCTTTCCCAGGCGAAAAATGGTCACTTGTGTCAAGTTAACCGCACGCGGTAGCGTATTTGGTTGAGCCACTATGCTACAAGTCGGAAGGTAGCGGGTTCGAATCCCAATGAGGTCATTGAATTTTTAAATTTACCTTCCAGCCGCACTATGGCCCTGGGGTCGACTCAGCCTCTAACAGAAATGAGTACCAGGAATCTTCCTGGGGTAAAGAGAGGCCGTCGCGTAAAGCTCACAACTTCACCGCCATCTGAGAGCCGATTGTCTAGAAAATGTGGGACTCTCGACGTCTCACAACCCTATGCACCTCCATGGTCTGTTACAGGGATAGCTTTGCCTTTTTTACCTATATCTGATAGCGAAATTAAGAAAACGTGGAGCACTACCGCCACTTCTGGACACGTCTTTATGGTCTGGAGCCTAATTGTGTATACGTGCAACTTTATATTTAATTCGATAAATTTATATAACAATTAGGTCCCATGTCTGTTAAAGTTAAGGTGATTTTAGTTCAAAATTAAATACTTTTATTCAGACTTAACTCCTTCTGTGGTGTTCACGAGATATCTCGATTTTGCCTTCAGTTTCTTTTTAATCTTTTGCCGTTTCTCAGAAATGAAAATTGATGCTAGACTACATGGGCCTATGTTTAGTTTGGTAAATTCTCTTCCGTAAAATATTTTAATGGATAGTTTATAGACAGTGCGTAACTTGAGTCTTATATTGTTGTATTTAAATAATTTTAAAACCGCTCCTTCTTTGTGTGTCAGCAGGGGAGTTTATCTACGACACTCACCTTACCGTACGATACATAATTGTGCCGTGAATACTATCTGAAAGGAAAGTTGAGAAATGTTTCACTTGAGACTCAACTACGTGTACTTTAAACGTTATTAAACTTGCTTTCACAATTTTCTTAACCTTCTGAAGTCCAGTGGTTACTATATGTATCACCCATCTCTCTCTCTCTCGTGTTGCTCCCAATTCGGAGCGTAAGACCTCCGTGAAACGCTTTGTTTCACTTCAGTTTTTTTAATTTTAGACAGTCGGTATGACTCTTTGGATGGGGGATCAGCCTGTCTCAAGGCTGCTACCTGACAAACATAGAATAAA